GGAAGGTACGATGTTGGATCCGAGTTGTCTCGGGTTGAGTTAGTGAATTTTTCTATCTGGGAGAAGAGCCGCACGTGCGGGGGGCTTGGGCCGCATGTGTGGGGGGCTTGGGCCGCACGTGCGGTGAGGAAAGGAAGCTCTGGGATGGTTACTGCATTATATTCAGGTGCGGAGAGAAGTGTGGGGATGAGAGCCGCACATGCGAAGGAGGTTGCTGTAAGTGCAGGAGTGGGTGCCGCACGTACGGGAGTGTGCGCTGCACATACGAGCCTCTAGGTAGTCTGAATCTCTGTTTTTTTTTCCCCTCTCTTTTGGCTGAGTGTGTGTCACTTTTAATCCTTCATTCTCACTCTAAAAAGAATTTTGCTCCTCCTTCTCTTTAAAAACTCTCATCAAACACCAAGAAACTTTGATTTCTTGCAATCTATTGAGTTTTGATTTACCTTTTTCACAAAATCTTGGAGAGCAAAGCAAGAACTTTACTTTGTACAGTGGAGATCAAATTTCTATAACTTTCAATTCTAGGGTTTCATCAAATCTCTCCAGCAAACTTGAAGGTGGGGACTTCCATTGAGTCGTATATATGTTTTGCAAGATTTATTGTTGATTTTCGAATTTCTCTTGTAAATATTGAGTATTAATGGTTAGCTCAACAATGTGGGTAGTTTGGGAGGGGTTTTGCTCTGCATTTTCCATGAAATAATTTTCTTGAAGGTTTTAAATTACATTGGCTAAGGAGAAATGATTTTGAGGAAATTCTTTCAAAAGATTGGTGTGTGTGGTGTGGTTGAGAAAAACCTTGAAATTGGGGCTTTCAAAAGTTGTAGAGGTGTTTGTGATTGACATTGTTAATAAGTTATTTTGTGGGCTAAAATGAGTAAAGGATGAGAACTCTTTTATTATTGTTATGTACTAAATGATGATTTTCATTGGGCATGAGAATTGTGAATGTTGTAGTTGTTTATTGTTGGTGTAGTCATGTGAGGGCTATAATGTTAAGGGAAGTAGGAAATAAAGAAATATTGCTATTTATCGATAAAATTAGATGAATATGTGGTCATTTGTGAAATGGCATGGAAAAGAGAAATGAGGATTTTGATTCTCATGGGAAAAGAAGTTTATAATAAATTTTTATTGAAATGTTTTGGGAAAAATACGTTGGTAAGTCTAGATAGGAGGTGTAGATGAAATTGGTTAAGTTGGCCTGAGTGTCCGGGGTGAAAGACCGAAAACACGCGCGGAGGAGATACCATTTCCCTTCCAGTTAGCAACCGGTAAAGTGGGGTATTGGCAGAGCTAGTTATGCCTACTTGTAGACACCAACCTAGGGATTACCTGAGTTGTATTTACCACCCCTCTTGAATTAAATTGATAATTTGTGCATTTCTTTTGAGTCATCAAGATATCATTAAGCATAAAGGATTTTCAAAAGATAACAATGTGATTTCAATGTCAGAAGCATAGCATGGCATATGTATTTCTTTTAATGAGGCTTGTACAAAATGTATATACTCTGTGAAGGATTTCTCTACTGGGCTTTATGCTCACCCCTATGGGATTTTGGTGCAGGACAAGATGTGGTGATCCCGCCGAGTTGAGGGCGTGGACACATTTTGTGAAGAGTAAATGACTCTCTTTTGTTGTGATTTATTTTGCTAGCCAAGGGCTATAAATGTATGGGTTCGTGAAATCATTTTTGTGTAACCGGGCTTGAGCCTTGGAAATTGTAACCCCATGAGGGCATTTATTATTTTTGGGATTTGATGTTCTACATGCTATAGATTCATGTATTTTCATACCGTCGAATGTATAATTCGCATGTAGAACTTTTGTACAAACTTTATTGATTAATGATGTAAAGGTTGGAGATTTACCTTTATTCCCTAATGGATGTTGGTTAATGTACCTAATTTGTGTTGGGTTATTTTGGGGCGTTATAGAATACGAAACCGACTAAGATTATGTGTTATTTAGGATTTTTAGAATTTTATGATGGATTTAATTGAAATTTGATTCGGAATCAAATAATTAGAATAAAATAATGTTACTTGATTAGTCTAAAACCAATTTTAATTAAGCTTCCCTAATGAGCCTATATAAGGCCTAATTAACTCAAGAAGCTTCTCATATACACTCCATTCCATCCAATTTGAGCATAAACATGAGAGAGAGGGTGAGACCAAGGAAATCACATCTAAGCTTGAGGATTTGAGAGGCTTGGAAGGGAAATTGAAGAATTAACTTGTGAGCTCAAAACATCTACGCATCTAAGCCATAATTGAGCGCCTAAGGTAAGAAATCAATCCTTCAGTTCTACAATTCGGGTACTTAACATATCTATTCAAAAGAATTAAGTGAATTGAGGCAAGAATTAAGCTTAATGTAGTAGAAGAGAAGAGTATACATACATGCATGTGCATTGCATTGCATTTAGAGCATGTTGACTAAGAATTTGTCCCGTGCATGTTCATATTTTGGTTTTGGCTTAAGAATTTACCATGTTTTTTTAGTAGAACACCTCATTTGATTATGAGTTGGAGACTTAGAACCTCATTCATATCACGCATGACATGTTCATGTTTTGTTTCCAACATTCCAAGCTTGATTTTGTACAATTGTCAAAGCTTTAGGGCTTAAGTTTGCGAATTGGCTTTTGACTCATGATATATTACGAATTTATAAGTGTTTTCTAGAGTTTTGACCCAAAATGAGGTGTTTTCAAGGTTTAAAATTGAGTTTTGAACTTGTATCAGCAATTTGGAAATACCAAAATTTGCACCCTCTACTCGAGCGGTGGAGTTTACGCTCAAGCAGAGAATACGAGCTCCTAGTACTTTTGTAGAGTTTAGGGGGCGGTGGCTCAAGCGGTAAAACCTGCACTTGAGCGACCACCCTTATTTTTTACCTTCCGCTTGAGCTACGGAAGTTGCGATCGAGCGAAAAAATAGAGCTCCTAGAAGTTTTATAGACTTTTGCAAACTGCTAAAGCGTAAAAAGTTGCACTCGAACGAAGGCTCTGTGTACCCAGTTTTGCGTTTGAGCGACGACCAAGCATCCGTAGAGTGGAAAAATCATGCAACTAGTATTTTTGCAGACTGCTCGAACGACAGAAGTTGCGCTTGAGCAGACTGCCCTGTTTTTGAATATTTGGCTAAGAGTTTCACAACGCATTTTGGCAATCTCATTGCACCATAGGCATTCATAAGCCCCAATTAAGACATAGTAATGGGGATAAAGATTAGAAACACACCTAGACAAGAAAGAAAGAAATTAATTAATTGAATTTCAAGCGTGTGTTTCCAATGTGTATCCGTTCTGTGTTTATATAGGTCCTGCGCTGTAGGCTATCTGGTTATCTGCTCCGCTTTATCTGCTTTATCTGCTCTATCTGTCTGCTATTGGAGCCAACTGTGAGTAATAACTCTATAAAGCTGTTTTTAGCTATTTGCATTTGTGAATGATATGATACTCTGTTTTCTAAACTATTATTTTCGGTATGAAAGAATGGTGATCCAACGTTTCTAAAATGTATTCGTGGCATCCTTAGCTTCAGATGATATCTGTTATATGTTCTGTTATATCCCAATTATGGGCCAACTGTACGTCTCATGAGCCAACTGTTATGGATCCTTCTGTATACATCCCATTTATGGGCCAACTGAACGTCTCATGAGCCAACTGTACCATCTCGATGCACGCAAGTCAATTATATGCCTTCATGGTTGTCCTTTTATGGGTTAACTATTTCTGTTAGTGCTAATGGACGTACCACATATGATTAATTGTAAATTCTGATTATGAATATGATTCTGATTCCATTTCTGTTATGAATAATGATTTCTGAACAAGAATATGAATCCACTTTTGATATAAACTGAATTTTGTTTTCTGTATTTGTTATGGACAACATTTATTAAACCCTTTACCTTGTTATTATTCATTGGGCTCCAGCTCACTATATTATTTATGAATGTAGGTGATTAGGCACGTGACCAGGCTTAACGATGATTGCCTGGACTTCTGTTTTGTCAGCCAACCATTGTGCCTCTTGAGGAGGCTCCAGAAAAAGTAATGTGGTCGAGTTTTGTGAACTAAGTTGAAGACCTTGTTTTCTTTTATTAAAATCTGAACCAGTATTAGTTTATCTATATATTAGGCTAGGTCCCATTTTGGTTTTATCTGTATATGTTGGTGATGTAAGACTAATGCAAATATGACGTCACATGTATGTATATAAAGTTTTAGATTTCTATTCCATGTATGTCTGCACAGCTCTATGGACATTGTATTTTGTATTGTTGCTTTCACTAGTCCTCTTAATTATATGTTATTCTATATAGAGGCCTTTGGTAATCCGAGGATTACTGGCCGATTACGATGCTAAACCTATGGGGGCGGGTTTGGGTCGTGACAAGGACACTCTTTGAAAGCATGTTTGCCTTTTGGCTCTTTCCTTACATTATCTCTTGTCTTTTAACTATTATTATTTTTTTTGATAGATGTAATCAAACACATGATGTAATCATTAGAATAGTTCAATGGGGAAGAGATAGTTATGAAATTTTATTAATGTTATTACGTACTTATTTTCTCTCTCTCTCTCTCTCTCCTTATAGCGATCCCGGTTGTCCCTTTACTGTTCTGTTGTGTTCCGGACTCAGTTCCGTGAAGTTGGTAGTTGTATCTATCTTGTTGTCATCCTTAAATTCCGTTTGTTTGAGTTATAGGATGTGTTGGGCTTGTTTCGAACATGTGGGTTGAACCTTGGTCTGAAATCTTGTTGCCGGGTTTTTGGTCGTTCCGCTCGAGCGGGTCCTGTTGCGCTCGAGCGGATATTGCACACGCCCAGTTTTTCATGTCCCTGCAAAACTTCTGCAGGTGTGATTTTTACGCTCGAGCGGGTTTCCTTACGCTCGAGCGGTGGCGCTCGAGCGGGTACTTGAGCGCTCGAGCGGGTAGTACCTTTGGGTGTAAGTTCTGGGAGGGGGAAATCTACGCTCGAGCGGACTGGTTTTCACGCTCAAGCGGATTTACTTTATTCTTGTGTCTTGGAGCTCGAGCGGGCCTTTTTGTGCTCGAGCGGACCTAGTTTTTGTTCTTGACGCTCGAGCGTTGTGTTTTCTGCTCGAGCGGGAATGTCGTATCAGTTGGCTGTGGGGCAGTTTTAAATCACTTTTTCTCATTCTTTCTCTCTCTTACTTTTCCGAAAAGGCTATTTGAGAGCTTCTCTCTCTAGAACCTTGCCTTCTCTCTAGGTATTGATCTAGTAGGAGTTGTTTCCTCACCTTTGGCCCTTACCAAAAAAGTTGTTGATTGTCGAGGGCTATCTTTTGATCCGAGAAACTCGTGGTTTAGAGCAATTTCGTTTTCACCATCTTCTTCGTTGGGTGTCATCTTTTGAGGTAGAGGTTCCTACTCACTCTTATGGTCTTTGACCTAGATTTTTAGTTGTTTTGGTAGAGTGTTGAAGTTGGGAAATTTTGGGACTTAGGGTTTCAAAATGTGTTAAAAAGGGTTTTGTGATTTTGGGCTCATAATATGTGTTTTGGGTTTCAAAATGATGATATAGTTGTTGGTTGGTGATATTGGGACCTTTGAGTTGGTATTGAGAGTTGGGGTAAAAGCCCTAATTTGTTGTCTAAAATTAATTGGTATAATTAATTTGGGAAAATTGTAGCTATATGGAATTGAGTTGGAAATAATGAAATTTACTCATTATATGGTTGAATAGTGGAGTTAGATTTATTAATCGCTCACTTTTGAAAACATTGATATTTTATCTGTTGGAGCTTTTATTATCTGTTTAGAAATAATTGCTTGGGCTACCGGTGGAGGGTAGTTTTGATTGTTGTAGACAATGCATGATGATTAGGCAAACTAAAACTAATCAATTGGATATGTCATAGAGTATGACGGTTGATAGAATACATTAACGTTATGTATTGATTGATTGCGTATATGACCTTTGTGTATATATGTTGTGTGTGTGGGAGGAGATAGGGGATGTACTCCACGGTTTAGGGGAAGATAGAGGATGGACCTCTAAACCGGATGTTGTTTGGGAGGAGATAGGGGATGGGCTCCACTGATACAGCTCATATGCTTGTCAGATAATGTGTTGATATAGCTCATATGCTTATCTTTGAAAGTATTGATACAGCTTATATGCTTATCTTGGAAGTGTTGATATAGCTAATATGCATATCGGTTGAAATGTGGATACAGCTTATATGCTTATCTGTTGAGATGTTGATACAACTAATATGTTTATCTATTGTAAAATGAGAAGTGTTTAATATGAGTCATTGTCTCATATAAGTGGTTGGCCAGGTTCTGAGCCATTGATGTAAATTGTGAAATTGATAAGAAATGGAAACTGAAATGAAACATGAACATAGTGGTCATGAAATGGAAATGGGTTATGAATTGATTTATGAAAATTGAACATTTATCAATTGCTAATGTCTTAGTCATTGCTCATACTGTGTTTAGCATATCTCTACTGGGCGTTGATTCACCCTTTATGGGACATTATTTTCAGGTACAGGTAGTATGCCACCTTCAAGCACATTGCTTGGAAGATGATGAGAGTTGAAGACTCTTTCTTTTGTTTATTTTGATGTATTACATGTAAATTCAAGCCAAGGGCTTAATATGTATTGAGTTAGTACTCTTCTTTTTGTAACCAAGTGTTAACTTGGAAAGCTGTAAGCCCATAGGGCATTTGCTTTTGTTGTTAACATGTAATACAGTTGTAAGAATTACTCTGATGAATAGAAATGATTGATTTCTTTTGTATCAATACATGTCTAAAATGTTGGTTTAATGTTATATTTTTGAGGGCGTTACACTCCTCTATATTGGTTACACCCACATGAGCATATTTGATTAGGGCAACTTAATTTCCGAGGCGTTACAACATGCATGGGCATTCACCTTATCATTTGGCTAAGATTTATATACTGTGTTTGAGCATCTTTACAAGGCTTTGGCTCACCCTATATAGAAAAAAAAACTTTCAAGTATTGACGATATGGCTTCACCAATGACATATCTTGGGAGGACTTGGAGCTAAGGGCTTTATTTTTGTTTATTGATGTAATTATTTTTGTTTAAGCCTCGGGCTTTACTTGTATTTAGTTAAACTCATTTTGTTTTACCCAAGTATTGACTTGGAAAGTTGTAACCATTAGGGCATATAATTATTTGGTTTTATTTTTACTTTAATTTATGTATCCATGGCATATGCTTTAGATTCAAAATCTAGGATTTTTGAATGTATATTGCATATGTTATCTTTTGTATTGATCAAAGTTATGAATGTAACATAAGATATGATGGTGTTGATCATTTGTAAGAAATTTATGAGTTGGATTATTATTATTTATTTCAGGGCGTTACAATAACCATTGAAATTAAAAATAGTAATTACATCATTGCATGTTTTGAAATCAAAAAATTTAAACAAATAATATTAATATATTATTGACAATAATTAAGAGGATTTAAAAATTAACCAATAATATTTCATATAATATTATACATGGAAGTGTAGATATAAATATATATTTCATACCATAACCATTGAAATTAAAAATAGTAATTACACCATTGCATTTTTGAAATCACAAAATTTTAGAAAATAATACTAATACATTATTGGCAATCACTAAGAGGATTTAAACATTAACCAATAATATTTTTACATAATAACATAGATAAAAGTGTAGATATAAATATAGATTTCATACCATAACCATTGAAACTAAAAATATTAATTACATCATTGTATGTTTGAAATCACAAAATTTAAGGAAATGATATTAATAAATTATTGACAACAATTAAGAGAATTAAAAAATTAAGCAATAATATTTTTATATAACACTATAGATAGAAGCATAGATATGGATATGGATTTCATACCATAACCATTGAAATTAAAAATGGTAATTACATCAATACATGTTTTGAAATCACAAAATTTAAGGAAATAATACTAGTAAATTTTTGACAATAATTAAGAGGATTTAAAAATTAACCAATTATATTTTTATACAATAGTATAGATGGAAGTATAGATATAGATATATATTTTATACCAGAAGCATTGAAATTAAAAATAGTAATTACATCGTTGCATTTTTGTAATCAGTAAATTTAAGAAAATAATACTAACATATTATTGGCGATGATTACAAGAATTTAAACATCAATCAATAATATTTTTACATAATAACATAGATAGAAGTATAGATATAAATATAAATTTCATACCATAACCATTGAAACTAAAAATAGTAATTACATCATTAGAGTTTTGAAATCATAAAATTTATGGAAATGATATTAATATATTATTGACAATAATTGAGACAATTTAAAATTTAACCAATAAGATTTTTATATAATAGTATAGATAGAAGTATAGATATAGATGTGGATTTCACACCATAGTCATTGAAATTAAAAGTAGTAGTTACATCATTGTATGTTTTGAAATCACAAAATTTATGGAAATAATACTAATATATTATTTACAACGATTAAGAGGATTTAAAAATTAACCAATAATATTTTTATATAATAATATAGATAGAAGTAGAGATATAACTATGGATTTCATACCATAATCATTGAAATTAAAAATAATAATTATATCATTGCATACTTTCAAATCACAAAATTTAAGAAATAATACTAATATATTATTGACAATAATTTAGACTATTTAAAAATTAACCAATAATAATTTTATATAATACTATAGATAGAAATATAGGTATAGGTATAGATATAGATATAGATATTATATAATTATTAATTAAGTAAATCTAGCTCCATTCAAATTCTATTGGGGTTCATTATGGCCCTATTTTAATTATTTATTTTTAATATTTTAATGTATATATTATTTATAAAAAAATATTATATTAATTTGATAACCATAATTATATAATTTTACCATTTTTATCTTCAAAAATTGAATAATTTGTTTTCGAAATAATATTTGTTGTTCATATTTTAAGAACATATAAAAATTATTTTACTAAAAATCAATGTAATTTTCTTTTCGTGAATAACCTATATATTAAAAACTAAAAAAAAAATTGAATTATATCCAAATAAGACCCGTGATGAGATTAATAGATGTAACAAAATTCAGATTGTTATTTAATCTCACTTTTCATCAAGAGCATTCCTACTCTAGTTCAAAAATTAAATATACCTTTTAAACCTAATGATGTGGCATTATATTAAAATATTTAACTCTCTCTCTCTCTTATTTATTATCTAATCATCAATCAATCTTTCTTTTTGTTGACACATCACTAGGTGTAAAAATTGGGTCTATAAAATGGACTTGTATATCATTTTCCTTTCATCAATATCGTTATCTTCTCTAACTCTTTTACAACCATCTCTCTCAAGTCTTAACAATATCCAATGCCTCCTTCTCCTCCTCCTCCTCCCCCACCACCATCATCTCCTTTGCTATACCACCCAAAACATCCCGTGTTTGACGCATCTCTTCTCAAACACGAACTCAACATACCTCCACAATTCATATGGCCCGACCATGAAAAACCCAGCCTCCATGAGCCACCACCACTCTTCGTTCCACCTATTGACTTGGGAGCCTTCATCTCCGGTGACCCCCTATCCGTCTCAACAGCTATTCAACTTGTCGATGAGGCTTGTAAGAAACATGGCTTCTTCTTAGTCATAAACCATGGAGTTAGCAAAGAGCTTATCAGTGAAGCTCACAAGAACATGGACTTGTTTTTTGATATGCCATTGAAAGAGAAACAGAGAGCTCAAAGAAAAGTTGGGGAATATCATGGGTATGCTAGTAGCTTTACTGGTAGGTACTCTTCCAGGCTTCCATGGAAAGAAACTCTTTCTGTTAGATATTGCGATGACGGTGGATCATCAAACGTGGTTGGAGAGTACTTGGTTAGCACAATGGGTGAAGATTTTAGACAATTTGGGTATGAAAACCTTAGTTTGTTCTATTTGGTTATGTTTTTGTTTTCTTTGTTTTCATTTTTCTGTATTTTAGAAAACAAAACAATGAAAAATTTAGAAATACCAATCAGTTTGATATTATTTTTCAACCATGCTACATAAACTCATAAAAAATATCTCAAAAAATATATTTATGAATAATAATCATTTTCCTTGTGGTCCGCATCCCATCAACTTTAAATCTACGCTATATAATTATTTCGAGGTAGATTTTAAAATAACTTTTCATGCTTCATGGTATCTTTGATTATTTATATTTTTATAATTTTTTTGATTTTTTTTCAAAAGTAAGTTTTCAGAAAATTTTCTCGAAAAGCTTTCAAATATATATATGTATATATACATATTTATTAGAAAAAAAGAAGAAGAAAAGGAACCATAGTCTATGTAATTTGTGTTTTGCGTTAATTTGATTACTATAGTTTTATTTTTGAAAATTTCACATTATGTCAATTTACCCTAATTCATAACTTTCCTTTAGAAGTTAAACTGAAAGCAAGTGTGACATATCTTAGAGTAATTGAGGGGTTAACATCTGATTTGAAATTATTTATTCCTTTTTTATTGAGTCATATTTTCTTTATTTTTTTTTTCTAATTTCTCAAAATACAAAGTAAAAATTTGAAAAGAAAAATTAATACAATTGAATTTATTGAGGTCAAATTGATACAAGAATGAAATTACAAAATCAAAACATAATTTGTTAAAAAAGAATACTATTAATGGATAACAAGAGAGGTACTATATTTCTTATAGTTTTACCATTTTAAATTGTTTTAAGTAGTTGCGTTAATTTCATTACAAAAGATGATTTCGTTTGAATTTAAGAAGCCCACTTGAAAACATTAGATTTTTATAGTGAGTCTTCAAAAAATTTTAATGAAATCCAGTTTGAAATATATATGTATTTTTTAATTGATGTAAAACGAAGAGTACGACAAAGGTAATTCGTCAAAAATAGAATGTAACAATTTGTTAAATAATTTTTTAGTTATTATTATTATTATTATTATTATTATTATTAATTTTTTTTTTTTTTGTGTTTTTGTGTGTGTCTCTTTTGGCTATTTTTTAACTTCCCAAACTTACCCTGAATATGACTTGCATTTGTGCTCCCCTGTTGCATGAGGTGGATATTTAAATCTTAACAAGTAAATTTCTGTTTTTAAGTTGACCTAATTTCATCAATTGGGCCACATGCCACTAGCTCTATGACTCATGCTTTGTTAGTTTCTATGTGAGCGCTGAAGAATGCATGTAGTTTTAGATATTCTGCTGTAGCCTGTACATGATTTGTTTTGTCTATGGGCTTTGAGAAAAATATTTGGTTCCGTCATTGATCTTCTACTCCCCTAACCGCTAATTATATCCGAATTGCGAATCATATATCATTCATGTTCAATTTTACAATTAAGCAAATTTGCAAAATCCTTTCAGATTCTGTGTTGGGGTGAATTTACCTGAAAATATAATCTGTGTGATTGATCCATACGAGTCACAGGCTTAATGATGCGTCTCATTTTATTGTTCATGTTATTTCTTTTTTAGGTTGATCTGCTCAGAGGTCAGAAAATCAGATAAAGTTGATGTCACATTACAACCAGAAGAGTTGAAAATAATGAACAATGTCTTGCATGCAAAGTAAGTCTGAGTCCTCATAGCTTGTTTAGTGTCAGTATCAGTATCAGTACATTAGCTACAAGGCGCTTAATTCATATTTATTTTGCATTTCACAGGTATGAGGAAGCAAGGAGGAGGAGAAGCTGCGTAGTCAGCGGGAGGATTTCAGTGACATGGTTGCCGAGGTGTGCATCTCTCACAATCTTTCTGATTTTGTACTTGTTTTAATTAGTATTTATGGACACTTTTGTTCTGATGAGGTGGAATTTTTCAGAATGAGAAGAAGAGGAAACGAAAAATGCAGGAAAATGATGGAAAATCGAAGAAAAAGGATTTCAAGTTCTACGACGTGCTGCTGGTTTTGTGATCAGAATGTTAGAATGCCAGATCCATTATGCTTTTCTTAGGCACCTCTAAATTTTTATCATTCGGAATCATAATTGTTGTGTGTCCATTGCCAAAAATGTAGTCCCATTCCATGGCACCAAACACAGCCTTGGTGTTATGGGTTTGGTTAATGAGAAATTTGTTGGTGATTTTATATGCTGCTACTTTCTATTTCCCCATTGCTTAGGATGGAAAATATGTTATATATCAAAGTTGCTTGATGGATTTCATGTTCCTGGTGTGAATGCATGCTTTTCCTCGAGGCCAGATAACCTGAATCATAGTTGAGACCAACAATTCTGAATGAAAATAATTTTTAGAAATGCAGGAAAACAATTGTATACACAGCTCATAATTTTTAGAAATGCAAGAAAACAATTCTGAATGAAAATAATTTTTAGAAATGCAGGAAAACAATTGTATACACAGCTCATAATTTTTAGAAATGCAAGAAAACAATTCTGAATGAAAATAATTTTTAGAAATGCAGGAAAACAATTGTATACACAGCTCATAATTTTTAGAAATGCAAGAAAACAATTCTGAATGAAAATAATTTTTAGAAATGCAGGAAAACAATTGTATACACAGCTCATAATTTTTAGAAATGCAAGAAAACAATTCTGAATGAAAATAATTTTTAGAAATGCAGGAAAACAATTGTATACACAGCTCATAATTTTTAGAAATGCAAGAAAACAATTCTGAATGAAAATAATTTTTAGAAATGCAGGAAAACAATTGTATACACAGCTCATAATTTTTAGAAATGCAAGAAAACAATTCTGAATGAAAATAATTTTTAGAAATTCAGGAAAATAATTGTATACACAGCTCATAATTTTTAGAAATGCAGGAAAACAATTCTGAATAAAAATAAATTTTTTAGTTATTTTTCATTTAATACAGGCCATTTTCATATTTTTAATAATTTTATTACAGTTTTTTCTTTTCTTTTCTTTTTTTTTTTTGAGACGGCAGCACACACACTGTCTCAAAAAGAAAAATAGAACCACGGTTTTTTGTGACGACAGTAATGCTGTCGCAAAAGATAGGGCATTTGGTTGAAAATGAAGTTTTTTAG